ACCCAGGATGGGCACATCCTGAGGAATAGATCGGTGCACAAACAAATAATAATTAAGAACTCTGTTGCCAATGGTTTGGGAATTGAGTAGTTCGGCTGGATGGAGAGCCGGCGGATCATGTCCAGACGTGGCAGTCAACTCGACATGGCAACAACAACTTAACTGCCTTTTCCAGTTGAACGCTTACGCCGCGTGACACAGTACTCGCTTTGGTAAAACAGTGACGCTGATCAATATTTGGGTCTGCACCGGTTAGTCGCAGTTAGAAATGCATAAGGCGCGTGCTCGCAACCAGTACTAATTAGGCAATGGCGCTGGGCCCTTGATTGGCTGTCATCGCTCTCTGAGTCGATTTTATGCTTTTTCTTGCACTATTAAGACCGCCCTGGTGATTATGTCTCCGATTTCTGACCTAGGAAACGCCTCATTGTCAAGTATCTTACATCGAGTCAAAAGTGAAGCTTTGGTAGACAACAAAATGGGAAAATTGGCATGGGCTGATACAGGTTTTGTTAAAGTCCGACGGGCAGTTGGAAGAGAAAGAGGACCGAATCTGGAAAAAAAGTACATATACTGTTAAACTGCGAACACACAGAATCCTTATCAAAGTGGCCTTTCTATTATTTGACCCCTGCGTTCTGGAACACTTTGGCCTATCGCGTGCCAAATCGTGAAGGACATTCCAGAAACTTCCAGCCTGCGGTGTGGCGATTGTTGATTGGTCAGTTCGTGCGTGAGTCTCTCTTGTGGGAAAATATCGATGTTCGATCTGTCGCGTATGTCAACAAGGCATCGCGCGTGCTCCATACAGTGTGACAGCTGCTCCAATGTCTTCCTTCTCTGGCGTCCCGATGCCCGCGTCAGGCCGGTTTACTGACAATCATCACCGCCAAAGCAAGCCGGCCCTCATAGGCTTGAGTTGAGCTGCGTCATGGTTGCGCGTGCACTTCTAGTTGGCCAAATTTGACAGCCTATTTGGCGCCCAATTGACCTTGTCATCAGACTCCCAAACCACGGCCTTTGACGCAACCAATCACGTGCTCTACAGCCAGACAGTCACTCACACACGAACTGACCCAAGCGCGTAAACAAAACACCTCTGCTAGCATGCTCCCGAACGGTTAAATTGTCCAGACAGCGCTGCTTGTGCGCTCCCAGCTATAGCACGCTTGACGGTTTGCGCAGCCCAATAAGATTAGAAATTTGTGTAGTGAGAAATGGTCCGATTTGGCTAGCCTATCCTATGAGATTGCATTAGCTCTCGCTGTAGGACTTTCGCCAGGAGGTAAGACTGTCGTCAGTGACAGGAGGACGAGGGTGTCTTCAACCCGATAATATAGAGGACTTGTGCTGCACCAAACTGCCCGTCTCGTTCAAGTACCAGTGTGACTCAGTGGGAAGAGTATACCAAAACAACTGACAACAAATTGCACGCAATGGCCAATTTCAAGTAGTTCACTATAGTTCAGTATATTAAGGGTAGTAGGCAATGCCTTTGAAGACCCTATTGAAAACAGTATACATAAAATATCCAATATTAAATATGTTACTCACTATTTTATAGCAACACATTTTATATTGGATATTTTATGGATACTGTTTTCAATAGGGTCTTCAAAGGCATTGTCTATTACCCTAAATATGCTGTAGTAGAAC